TGAGAATAATACTTTGTTCATCACTTATTACTTGGCCGAGATACCCTTCATTTGCAAGAAATCATAGAATCAGTAGCCAAGGGTAATACATAAAAGGAAGGGATAGTTTATAATGAAATTTTTCTGTTGTTAAGTATACCATGATTAGAGTCATGCGTGCTTTTTTGTTGAGAATCTATTTATGGGATAGAACAATTTCCACAATAGTGATATAGAAGTTTGATTTTTATGTTCCTTCTACTGATTTTAATATGTGTGAATTTGATCATTTCTTATATTACCAGCAACGCAACACAAATGAGGATTTGTGTATTTGTTACTTTATGTGGATAACATATTATTTAGCTCGGTGTACAACCATCAAATTCCTGTTATTTATTGGACCTAACATAAAAGTAGAAAATAAGATAAAGGTTAAATTGGTATACCCCATTTCATACTAGTCAAAAGTCAATATTATTTATCCAGAGTCAAATGTTTGACTAGTCAAAACCAAGGTCAATTAGGGACTTAAATGAAATTAATTATTTTATTGGGGTTCATTTTGTGATTTAAGATAGATGAATGTTTAGGATGGACATCATTTAAATTTGGGGAAATACTTATTAATTATTAGAAGTTAAATGATTCAACAAGATATCGTATGAACGTTGAAGGACTTGATTGCAAAAGGGTTTAATTGGTGGATTACAAGTGGCACTCTGCAGGCCATTCTTTCATTTTCATATTACATGCACACATATACCTATGAAGCTAGAAAAAAAATGCAAAAGGGGGAGGAACAGAGAGAAAGAGGAAGAAAGAAAAGGAGGAAGAGGAAGAGGAAAAGGAAAAGGAAAAAGGAAGGAAAAGAGATTGTAGGAAGGAATATGTTTTAAAGCCAATATTTTTTAATTGAGAGGGCTATTTACACTAAGGTGGTGTCGAAGAGATTGAAAAAACTTGTCGACTATCATAACCAGTAGCTTGTTTAGAGTGAGTTGATATAAAACTTATTTTTTAGAAATTTATTTATTAAATCAGAAAATTTATTATTTCATATAGTTGATTTGATATAATGATTTTCAAAATAAAGTTGATTTATAATCAAATGTTTTTAAAGTTTGATTCAGTTCAGTTAAATTCATTTTATTAACATGTTTTATTCATATTATATGTTTCAGTATAGCTAAAGTTATTTTCTAATAATCACTAGAAAGTACATAGGTGATTTTACCCTAGTCTGTCTCGTGTGAATGTGTTTCCACAGTGTATGATCAATTATGGTGATTTTACCCGCTCTGCACTATTGTGAATATGTTTTCATAATATATGACTAGATTATCAGAGGTCTTTGGGACCCACTCTCGTACATACATAGGCTTTGGGTCGTGTAATAGGGTNTGTGAATTTGATCATTTCTTATATTACCAGCAACGCAACACAAATGAGGATTTGTGTATTTGTTACTTTATGTGGATAACATACTATTTAGCTCGGTGTACAACCATCAAATTCCTATTATTTATTGGACCTAACATAAAAGTAGAAAATAAGATAAAGGTTAAATTGGTACACCCCATTTCATACTAGTCAAAAGTCAATATTATTTATCCAGAGTCAAATGTTTGACTAGTCAAAACCAAGGTCAATTAGGGACTTAAATGAAATTAATTATTTTATTGGGGTTCATTTTGTGATTTAAGATAGATGAATGTTTAGGATGGACATCATTTAAATTTGGGGAAATACTTATTAATTATTAGAAGTTAAATGATTCAACAAGATATCGTATGAACGTTGAAGGACTTGATTGCAAAAGGGTTTAATTGGTGGATTACAAGTGGCACTCTGCAAGCCATTCTTTCATTTTCATATTACATGCACATATATACCTATGAAGCTAGAAAAAAAATGCAAAAGGGGGAGGAACAGAGAGAGAGGAAGAAAGAAAAGGAGGAAGAGGAAGAGGAAAAGGAAAAGGAAAAAGGAAGGAAAAGAGATTGTAGGAAGGAATATGTTTTAAAGCCAATATTTTTTAATTGAGAGGGCTATTTACACTAAGGTGGTGTCGAAGAGATTGAAAAAACTTGTCGACTATCATAACCAGTAGCTTGTTTAGAGTGAGTTGATATAAAACTTATTTTTTAGAAATTTATTTATTAAATCAGAAAATTTATTATTTCATATAGTTGATTTGATATAATGATTTTCAAAATAAAGTTGATTTATAATCAAATGTTTTTAAAGTTTGATTCAGTTCAGTTAAATTCATTTTATTAACATGTTTTATTCATATTATATGTTTCAGTATAGCTAAAGTTATTTTCTAATAATCACTAGAAAGTACACAGATGATTTTACCCTAGTCTGTCTCGTGTGAATGTGTTTCCACAGTGTATGATCAATTATGGTGATTTTACCCGCTCTGCACTATTGTGAATATATTTTCATAATATATGACTAGATTATCAGAGGTCTTTGGGACCCACTCTCGTACATACATAGGCTTTGGGTCGTGTAATAGGGTGATTAGCTTTTGAGGTAGCTCTGCGTACGTATGACCAGATTATCAAATTTGAATAACTTTGCCTAGTACATCGAAATTACTCTGTACATGAATAAGGCTATTCATTGGGTACCTTTTTGTGTAATTTTTCAATATTTCTACAGCTTATTAGATTTCAAATTATAGAATTCAGTTTATTCAATTCTCAAAATAAAGCTTTCAGCTTATTGTATTGAGCAACAACAATATTTCATGAATTTTCATTGATATCATATTATTTATATTCGATATGTTTTACAGTTACTTATCTAGAATGAAGAACAAAGAATTTTATGATGCAATTATGTTTAGTTTTAAAAGTGTTACTAAATTTCAGAATTTCTCAAAATTTAATAGAGTAAGAATTTTCAGAAAATATGCATAAAAGAAAAAGTATACTTATTTGCAAATTATCCACTCGCTGAGCTATAAGCTCATATTTCTTTCATCCTTTATCTTTATCAGATAGCAGTTGAATTGAGCAATTTTAGAGCTTGTCAAACCACCGAATTGAGCCATGCTTCGTAGGTTGTATGACATCCTTTATCAGATTATAATGTGTTCTTTTGGAGTACATGTACCTTAAATTAGAAAAAAATCATCATGGGCTCATTACATATTTGACGTATTTGGTATATTTGAGGATTGTTAGTTGTAAAGCAAGTAAATATTGAATGGCCAACATTTTATTTGAATAGTTTGTATTCTGAGGGATTGACGTGCCCTGTTTTATATTATAGGTATTAAATTGAAGAAAGTTGGTTATTGTTCAGGTGGTTTTAATTCATATTTTAAGGAAAACTTTGTCAAAGTTTTGTTAAAAATATTTTTTCAGTTAGACAAGTCAAGGTTGTCTTGGTGGTGGGTCTGACACTTAGTTGGTATCTACCATCGGCACACGGCTTTTGTTGGATCCATATGGTGATTCGGGATGGATCGTGTCATAAACTATGTAAAGAAATTGACATAAAAGACCAAGGAGGATTCATGGTGTGGAAATTAATAATGGTATATATAATTCTTGGCTTATTTTTGCATCAAACTGCTTATGTGTTTAAAATTTTGAAGAAATTTGTCTTGATTGATTACAAACCTACTACTGTGCCATGATTTTAATTTTAAAAAATAAGCTTTAAATAAAAATAGAGTTATTTAGAAATAATCAAAACCAATCTCTTTTCATACATACATTCAATTCGGATTTGATTGCAAACTAATACAATTCATTTAAAGCTTATTATTTATATGATGATACAGCTCATCATGCTTGACTTATCAATGATCTTGTACATTTACGAAATTTATCTAAACATTATGCACTTAAATAAGTGAGCTCGACTTCAATTAAGGTGTCGACCATTTACTTAAATCAAAAGAAAACTCTTGGTGCCGTATTGTACAGCACATTGGATATTGTTGTGACATAAATCCGGTCGACTTGTACAAAAATAAACAATTGAAAGGAAGTTGTTAAATATTGAACTTTCAATCTTGACTTCTCATGTTTTGGTTTTTCCATGGTTTGACATCTTGGTACTACTTCTAAGTACTTACGACGAGCTTTGTATCGCAACTTCCATATTCAGCAATCATTAAAAAATGTATTTATAATTGCGAACTAAATATGGTGGCTCGAAGTGGATTTAAAGGACTTATTTTATTCTCTCTATTTCCAACGTCAAATTATTTAAAATTTTATTTAATGTTCATTCATATAATTAAAATATAAAGTCCCTATTTAATGAGAATTAAAATCAGATTTTTATAAAAGTTGATAAGAAGTATGAATGAAAAGTTGTAGATTCGATGAAAATGTGATTAAAATTAATTGTTCATTTTGACGTAGATTAAAATTTAAATTTTAACCTCAACAAAACAGGACTGAAAATATGTTGAAATTTTAGAGCTTTAGCCCCTATTTGGCCCCTATTAAATTAAAATTTATTTTTCTCTCTTTTCTTATCAATCACACATTTTTAGATAAAAAAAATATTACATGTAAATGTAAAAAAATTTCCTTCCTTTTTTATCACTCTTTCTTCAAAATAAAATTATTATTCTTTTCATTATAATTTGAAATAATGGAGCCCAAACAAGACTTAGAAACTTGAATCAGCAAACTTGACATCGATTAAGGAGGTTGACCATTTGCTTAATCAACTTAACAAGGACTCTTGGTGCCATTGTGTACGGCACATTGGATATTAGTATAGTAAAATAATGTCAATTTGTACAACATTAATATATTATTACTAAATAGTAAAAATTGAATTTTCATCGTTGACGCCGCAGGTTTATATCTTTCCCTGAGTTGAGAGATAAATTCATGCATGGGCTCATTGATTTAAGACTCTAGGTGGGTAATTCTTGCATAGGCTCATTCAACTAATTCTCTATAAATAGCCAAACAGGCAGAGGTCGAAGAGCACAATCAATTTACAGAACTTCAAATTTCTCTTTTCATTTGTAGCAATGGAGAATAAGAACACCATGTTGACTACCAAAACTGATGCCCCGCTACTTCTGGGCGGTGGTCAGTTCGCCAGACACACCCAATCCACTATCAAGCGCTCCGATTTTCCCAAGGATTTTCTCTTTGGTTCTGCAACGTCGGCTTATCAGGTTATGTTTTTAGAAGAAGTGATAACTGAGCATGTGAGATGATCCATGCACACGAATTAATGAACAAATATTTGTATATTTTGCCCTTGTTTGAGCCCTATTTAGAGAAAGAGCGTATTTTGAAATAGTAGATTGATGGAGATTGTGTTGTTAAAAATTAATGGAAAGTATTAGATTTGCATGTAATAATATTTTATTGGAGAATGTATGGTTGAAAATAAGTTTTGAGAAAATGAATTTTTAGAAAAGTGGGGCTCAAACAAGTTTATTGCTTCTTATTGGTTTGTTAACTTTGCCGTCTATTTCAGGTTGAAGGTTGTTGGGCCAAAGATGGTAAAGGCATGAGTAATTGGGATTGTTTCACACAGAGGCAACCTGGTCTTTCCTTTATCTCAAGTCTTCTTCTCTTTGTGTGTGTGTGTGTGTGTGTGTGTGTGTGTGGATTACAATTATATGGTAATTGCTGAGCATAAAATTTCATTGGATTCGGAGTGGCAGATAAAATTGCAGATGGTAGCAATGGATGTGTTGCTATTGACCAATATAATAAGTTCAAGGTACTCGTGCATATCATTGTTAATCATAAAGTAATGCAAGTTGGGAAAATAGGTTGCAATAAGTTTTACTCATCATATTTACCATCAATGCAGGAGGATGTGGCGTTGATGAAGAAAGTAGGTTTGGATTCTTATAGATTTTCAATTGCATGGACTAGAATCTTGCCAGGTATATAAATATAATATACGAATGAAAATTAGAAAGGTGGAATTTTTACCTAGATTATAACGAACACGTGAACAAATCATAATTCAAGGAACTCTTATTCGATTTAAATTTGTGTTTTAGGAGGAAAATTATGTTATGGCGTGAGCAAGGAAGGAATTAAGTATTACAGTGATCTTATAGATGCACTCTTAGATGAAGGTTTAATACCATTAAAATTCTCCTGTCTGAGCTTTATTTTTATTTACTTTATTCACGAATAGAATTCAAAAGTTTCATTCAGTTAATTTAATTACTTCTTGTATAGGAATCACTCCATGTGCAACTATCTTCCACTGGGATGTTCCTGAATGCCTAGAAAAAGAGTATGGTGGCTTCTTAAGCCCCGAAATTGTGTAAGTTAACTCAAATTTGCATAAGCAAGCTCATTTTCTGGTGAACTATACATATTCTGATAAAATTTTGTGTATTACAGGAAGGATTTTAGTGATTTTGCTGAGGTTTGCTTCTGGGAATTCGGTGATCGAGTGAAATATTGGATCACAATGAACGAGCCATGGTCCTTTACATTACAGGGTTATGTATTAGGCTCTTTTCCGCCATGTAGGGGTTCTAATACTCCAGCGTCTCTGGAACAGGATTACTGTCATCACAGATGTCATGTGGCTCCGACTATTTGCCCCAATGGAAATCCGGGCACAGAACCATATATTGTGGCACATAATTTGATACTTTCTCATGCAGCAGCAGTTGATATATACAAGCAAAAATATCAGGTTTGCATTTCATTATCATGCAAGTGCATAAATTAGTCATTGTAATTTAATTTTGGGTGAATTCTGGATTGATACATTTATACAGGCACATCAAGGAGGCCAGATAGGGATCACAAATGTCTCATGTTGGTATGAACCTCTTACTGACACTCAAGCAGACAGAGACGCTGCTTCAAGGGCTCTCGATTTTATGCTAGGATGGTAAGTAGCTAAGTGAACCCACACTTATATAGACATAGACGAGTCTCATAATTTGGATCTTTTATTTCCTCTCCCCTTTTATCTATTTCAGGTTTGTAGCACCTATAGTAACAGGTGATTATCCACAAAGTATGAGAAAAATAGTGGGAAATCGTCTTCCCCAGTTTACACGAGAAGAGATGAAGTTGGTAAAAGGATCGTATGACTTTTTAGGCATAAACTATTACACAGCTAATTATGCCAGCCACCAACCTTTAAAGCCAGGCTCTCCACCGGATTACAATACAGACCGCCTTGGTAGATATACAAGTAAGCATTAGGATTTTTTTCTTTTACAGATTTAAGCTTTATTGATAATGACATTTGTTGGGAAAACACCTCCCAATGAATGTCCAAGAAACAAACTAAGTTGGCAAAGTGAAAATTTCCAAAATACTTGAAGAACAAGAAAATGAGGAAGAAATGAATCCAATGGAATATATGATAATCAATGTGTTAGGATTACTTGAACAAGCCTCAAGTTAATCCCCAAGAAAGAAAATACCTTTGAATTTATACCCAAGATGAACAACCATCTATCTTGTAAAAATTCTCTCCAAAGTTTTCTCTCTTTTCTCTCTAGGTCTTGTGTTGTGTATGTTACATGTGAAAGGGGGGAGAAAATGGCTATATATAGCCTACCGGGGCGCCTAGGCGCCACTCTTCTGGCGCCTAGGCGCCATGTTTCTGTCTTGAAGCAGAAACGGGGCGCCTAGGCGCCTGGACATGGCGCCTAGGCGCTGCTGCTCTTCTCTTCCTCCAGCTTTTTTTTTCAGCTTCTCTTCTTCTCACAATTCTCCACCTCGTACATCATTTGATAGACCTCAAATTTTGGACGAACACAAGGAGAAGAAACAAGCACCAACTCGGCTGCATCATTCAAACCATGATTGCCTACGTACCCATAACTCGGGATCAAGCCTCCGTAGTTCACCTTCATATACTCCACCTCATTTCAACCTCGCCCCGAAGGGCCATGCCCTCTCGGGCATATCAACACGGACTAATGTGAAGCAAGTCCAAGCAATGTTGAAACTTGCTACCCGTCACAACTTTGGTTAACATGTCAGCTGGGTTCTCATTTGTGTGCACCTTCGAGAGTGAAATGTCACCTTCCTCTATAACATCACGCACAAAATGATACCTGACGTCAATATGCTTGGTTCGAGCATGATGAACCTGATTCTTAGCCAAGTGAATCGCACTCTGGCTATCACACCACAAGTCCACACAATCCTGCTCAATCCCCAAATTATTTAGAAGACCCCATAACCACAATGCTTCCTTCACTCCCTCTGCCATGGCCATATACTCGGCCTCTGTGGTAGAAAGAGCAACTGTAGCCTGTAACATCGATCGCCAACTAACTGGGGCACCATGTATGCCTTTCAAGTACCTCAGGATCCACTTCACAGCTTCCCAGTGTGCCTTCCCCGGATTCGCCATGAATCTACTGACCACACTAACTACCTGCGAAATGTCTGGGCGTGTGACCACACTCACCGCCTGTGAAATATCTGGGCGTGTACACACCATGGCATACATCAAACTACCAACTGCACTAGCATAAGGTACACGATCCATGCGTACATTTTCTTCCGCTGTAGTAGGAGACTGTTTACCAGAGAGCCTGAAATGTGGAGCCAATGGAGTCACCACCGACTTTGCACCTTGCAACCCGAACCTAGTAATAACCCGCTCAATGTAGCTTTTCTGACTCAAGAACATTCGCCGGTTCATCCTCTCTCTTCTGATCTCCATACCCAGTATTTTCTTAGCAGCCCCCATATCCTTCATCTCAAACTCTTTACCAAGTTGAGATTTCAACTTATCTATCTCTACCTTGCTTTTCGAAGCGATAAGCATATCATCCACATACAATAGAAGATAGATATAGTTACCTCC